TCTCCCTCTGCCCCATCTCCCCGTCCCATCTCCCTCTGCCCCAGCCTCCCTCTGCCCCAGCCTCCCTCTGTCCCATCTCCCCCTGTCCCATCTCCCCCTGTCCCATCTCCCCCTGTCCCATCTCCCCCTGTCCCATCTCCCTCTGCCCCAGCCTCCCTCTGTCCGGTCTCCCTCTCCTTGCTCAATTCTCTCTGGCCCTCTGGCCCTCTCCAGCTCTCTCCCTGTGCCCTCCCCCTCCTGCTTCTCTTCCTCCTCCTCACTGCTCTGTCTCCTCTGCCTCGGTCTTCCTCCTCACAGTCTCTTTTCTCTCTTGCCTTCAGCTTCTCATCTGGCGCTCTCTCTCTCCAGTTTTCCTTGGTATTTTGTCAGTCTCTGTCTTTCTCTGAACTCTTCTCTTGTCTTTGTCTCTCCCTGTCTCTGTTTATTTTTCTGTCCTGTGTCTCTGTTTATCTGTCTCTATCTCCTCACCTCTCATCTCTTTTTCTTCTTGTTGGTGTCTCTGTGGTTTAGTTTTTCTGTCATTCCCCCCCCCCCCCCCCCCCCCCTTCTCTCTCCTCACCTCTAAGCCAGAGCTTCGGCAGCCGATGGCATGGGTCAATGATTTGAGAGTCTGCAGCCAGCTGTAATGAATGCCCATTTCCTGTTTAATTTCACCAGGTGTGGGCCTCCTATAATTGAGCACTTAATCGATGTCCCTGAAATGTCAGCAGTGATCATTAGGTCATCTCCCCACCTGCAGCCTGTTAAATGCCCACCTCCTTCCCAGGGGATGCTGCTTTGTGCTACAACTGAAATATCAAACAGTTGCTAACTGTTAATGAAAGCTTAAGTGCATTTCCCTAGACTGCTTACTAAAATGCCTTCTGTGGCTTGACAGTGAAGCTGTGGATGAGGTCTGTGTTGGGCAAGGAACGAGGGGGAGGTGGGCTTGGGCATTTGTCAACGTGGGGCAGGCTGGGGCATTTGCACATGGGCGGTTAACTAGCTTCCTTCTCAAGCCCTGGCTACTTCACATTGGTAACCATTTTTGTCCATCTGGGACCTGGGAGAGTGACTCTTATGGACGATTTAGGAGTGAGGATGATGACTAAACAGTCATAATGACAGTTATACCGTGTTTCTGTAGTATGTTTTTCAATTTATGGAATAGCTACTATTATTTGAGTTATTACCAAAGCAGTGTCTGTTTATTCCTCTCCGTCTCTGTATCTTTCTCTGCCTCTCTCTCACACACACACCTAGAAATAACGGACTAGCAAAAAGAAGAGGGTGGATACCTCCAGCCACCTGTGTGAACACCCTTCCAAGCTTACATTTAAAAATTACTCTCATCTCTCTTTTGTCCTCATAAGAGTATTACATTTTTCAGAGGAGGGAACTAAGGCACAGAGAGTTTTGATCCCTCGTCCAGTGCCACCTGACTAGCAATTGGCAGAGCCAGGAGGAGAATTACCTCCCCTAAGTGTGATCCAGAGGTCTTTCCATGGGAGTGGAGAGTAGTTTAGCTTGTACTACTCCGCATCATGGATTTTTACTTATCTCCCCTCAGCCTGTGTCTAATCTAGTGATAGCATCCAGGACCCCCTGGGCACTAGCCAAGGACAAGAGGCTTTCAGGTAGTCTCCCTCCTCTCTGGATGTCTTGATGCACAAGATAGCAGCATCTCTGGCTCCCTTGATTTCTTAGCTGAGAACCTACAGTGGTGAGTTGGGCTGGGCCACCCACTTGGGAACTGGGAAGGCACACAACATGGGCTTTGTGCTGCTTCCCAGAGTCTGGGTGCAAGGTTGGATCTGCAGTAGACACAGGAAGGGGTGGGGAGGCCATGGACCTACAGCCAGCTAAGAGCCACAGGATCTTCTGTGACAGAGGGGGCGTGAAGATCCTAAGAACTCAGCACCCTCTATGCCCCAGGATGAGGCAAAGCAACTTGGCCTTGAACCTGACCCATGGAATGGCACCAAGCTGAACTTTAAAGCTTACAAGGTGAAGACAAGTAGGGAGAGGATAAAGGTTGACAGGAAGGTCTTTCAACTGAGCAAGGTGTTCTGCCCTCTGCTGGTTGGTGACAGACTCCTTCCTCCCTGTCTTCCTTCCTCTCCACACACACTGCAGGTGGCAAACAGCCCAGCTTATTGCACAGCTACCGTGTTTCCCCCAAAATACGATATTGTCTTATATTTATTTTTTCTCAAGAAGACACACTAGGGCTTATTTTCAGGGGCTGTCTTCCTCTCCGTGCCAAAATGCATGGCGTGGCTATGCAGATACATAACTAGGTCTTATTATCAGGGTAGGGCTTATATTTAACAAATGCATAGAAATCCTGCTAGGGCTTATTTTGGGGGTAGGTCTTATTTGGGGAGAAACACGGTACCTATGATCCTCATGGTAAATACATATGCAGAATGTGGTGGAGACTGGAGGAGGAAGCCTTTCATTCTGACCTACCAGAGTCCCACAGGACAGTCAAAGGAGACCATGACATTCTGATGCGAGCTGGATGAGTAGGAGTTTTCCAGGTTGAGATGAATGCTTAGGGCAGACAGAGGGACCAAGGAGAACAAAGGTAAAGGAGCATCAAAGTTCACGGTGTGGCGAGGGAACTTTGAGTGGCTCAGTGTAGCTGGGACCACATAGCAGAGATGAGATGCTCGGTGGACGAGGACAGGGGAGGGGAAAGTGGAGTGAACCAGAAAGGACGGCTGTGCCAGACTGAGAGGGGGCGTGGATACTCACACGGCATGTGCTCTGTCCTGTGACCCATGATGATTTTAAGCAGGAGGGTGACAACCATCTCATTTTGGTTAAGAATAATGCTGTTGCAATGTGAAGAGTGAGTTACGAGGGGAAAAGCTTGGCGAGCAGGGAACGTGGTTAGGAGGCTGTAATAGCCCAGGCAAGAGATGATGGGGACTCTCCCCCCGCGCCTCCCCAGGGCTATGGCCTTGTGACTGAAGAAGAAGGAATGGATTTGAAAACATCAAGAGACAGAACTCACTGGATTTGGGAGCTTTATATTTCTAGCTCTTTTTTTTTTTTTTTTTTTTTTGAGACAGAGCCTCAAGCTTTCCCCCCTGGGTAGAGTGCCATGGCATTACAGCTCACAGCAACCTCCAACTCCTGGGCTCAAGTGAGTCTCTTGCCTCCGCCTCCCAAGTAGCTGGGGCCACAGGTGCCCGCCACAACGCCCGGCTATTTTTTGGTTGCAGCCGTCATTGTTGTTTGGCAGGTCCGGGCTGGGGATTCGAACCCGCCACCTTAGGTGTACGTGGCTGGCGCCTTAGCCGGTTGAGCTATAGGCGCCGAGCCTATTTCTAGCTCTTTAATGTTATTGAACTGCTCAGAATCCTCTGGCTCCTCCCTGCCTACCCAAAAGACAATAAAGTTCCTAGGGTCTGCCTTCCCAGCGTCAAGATCTGTTTAGACTCACCGTGACTCTCATGTGCACACTCCAGCCAAGTCAATCCACTCCTTACTCCCCAACAGGTCCTCAGATTTCTGACTGAATGTCCATATTTTATTCTCATCCCCACATGTGCACATCCTTCCTCCCTTCAAATATCCCGTATGTTGCAATGATGGCAGTTTGTGAAGTGCTTGTTATGTGTGAGGCCCCCGCTATGTACTAGGCACTGTTGTACCTACTTTACATGTCCTATCTATCTTATTTGATTTTTGTAACAAGCATATGAAAAGGTTAGCCCTGTGTTACAGATGAGGAGAGTGAGGCTTAGTAGATCTAAGTGGCTTGTCCACTGTAGCGCCTATCAGTGGCCACAACTCTGCTGTCAATCACTACACTGTGCTCTTTCTGTTGGGCTGCCTAGTTATTCCTCGTTTATTGCTCTATTTCTGTCTCAGTAATCTCACTGCCTCTGCCCACTCCTCTTTGTCTGGGCCTCTATAAAGCACTGACTACGTTTTGTCTTATATCCAAGTTATTTGAGCTCTCCTCTGTCCAGACTGGAAGCTTCTTAATCAGAATCGAAACTCAATCTCCCTTAATCATGACACACTGATACAGGAGTCACTCAGGAACAAATTGAATGAGCAAATAGCCCTGGATGAAGTGGGATGAGGGCTAGGCGTGTTCCTATGGCACTTTGCTGTTCTGAGAGCTTGCCACCTCTCCAGGCCAAATGATAGGTTTCCCTCCCAAATGATGAGTCCCAAGGCCAGTTGATCCCAGATTTGCTAGCATAGCCCACATGCTACATTGTGACTTTTCAGATTTGTCTCCTCCACGAGACTGAACGTGTATGGGTCAAGAATGAATTGTATTGTTACACATAAGAGGAGCTACTATTTCTTTCTAATAATAGCTTTCTAACTATCTGCCAGACATTGTGTTCCACCCTTTAAAGATTTTAAAAATGTTAATCCTTACACTAAACCTTATAAAGAGCTTTTGAAGTACCCTCCACTATTTTTTGGCAAATGAGAAAACAGATTCAGAGAGGTCCTGTATCTTGCCCAAGGCTACACAGCAAGAAATTATTAGAGGTGAGAGGTCCAACTCCACAGTCCACATCCTTCCCAAGCTCTCCTGGTACCTAATGGGGCCTGGCCCAGAAGCATGATCATGGTTTGTTAAATTGAATGAATGAGAATAAATTTTGCTGGAGAAAATCATGTTTGGCCCACATTCAACTGGCGATGGAAAGAAGGAAGGAGCTGGGAGAGGCCTCTGAGAGGGTCTTCCCCTCAGAGACCTCGGGTGGGCAGCTATCAGGGTCAAGGCCTTGTATGTCTCCTGACCTCTGTGGGCTCATCCCCAGGTCCGCTTTGTGAACAGCACATGGGTGTTTGGGAAAGGCATGTGCCACGTCAGCCGCTTTGCCCAGTACTGCTCCCTGCATGTCTCAGCTCTGACACTGACGGCCATCGCAGTGGACCGCCACCAGGTAAGGGCACCTGCCCCTAACGCTCTGTCCTTGCCTCTCTGCTTTGCTCTCCAGGGCAGTGCAGGGGCTCTCAGGACACCACGGACCCTGTTTTCAATGAATGTGTTTGTCTTTTTCTTGATGAATATGATCACATGTAACAAATTAGGGGCCTTTTGTCCCAGTTGTTGCAGAAAATTATTCCTAGTTTATTGCTGCAGATAAGACTCACTGCTGGCATTTTCTGTCTCAGAAATTAATGAGTTTGTTTTGTGGATAGTAAAGCAAACGTGGAAAGTCACAGATGAAAAGAGAGTGGCAAATAATTGCAGATCAAGGACAAGGCTTCTAAGTGGGAAATAGTCACCTGCCCAGGATGCTGAGGAAGAAAATGAGGCAGGAGGTCCAGGTGGCAGGAGCAGGCATGGGGTAGGCATGGTCCCGGATCGTGAAGGCCCTGCTTGCTGCCCTCGGCAGATATGGTGAAGGGAACTGAATAGGAGCTAGAAGAGGACAGCTCTATGCCAGGCACCCCACACCTGCCCACTCTATGAACCCGTGACCTCTGCTGAATCAAGGGATGGAGGCTTAGGAAAGGGCATATGTGGCTTCCCAAGATTTTGTGCCTGTGAACAAAGCGTGGATAGGACTGAGAGCTATCTGGGTCCAAACCCAAGCTTTGATCTCTAGACCCCTTGCTCTGAGAAGACTCAAAGGAACCTACATGGCCAGTATTGTAAGAGCCACCAAAATGAAGAGATGAAATTTATCTGAATAGCACAAAGATATATAACAAGGACTAAGGGATGGGAAGCTTCAAAGGTGCAGATTCAAAGATGCATTTCAACATGGAAAAAGGAAGACTTTTTTCATAGAGGTGTCCAAAGGTGGGCAAACCTGCCCAGGCGGTAATGGGTTTCACGTTCCCAGTCAAAGTCTGGATGACAGCTTTATAGGGATGTTTTACTGGTGATTCATACATCTGATGAGGGATTAGACTGGCCAAACTTTTAGATCACTTTATCTCTGAAATGCCATAATTTTATAGGAATCAACTTTTTGTTTATATTGCAGATGCTTTAGTCTGGAGTGTGGAAAGTTTGCATGCAAATATTTCCTTTCTTTTCTTAACCTTCTCCCCTAATTCAATAAGAGGAGCTAGGGATTCCATTTATCTGGTCTGTGCTTACCCTTGTGTAACACAGCTAAGTGAGAGTTGACCCCAGGGCTAGGGGAGGGTCTGAGGAGCAGTGGTATAGGTCTTGCCACCTTGCTGTGGCATATGCCTAGACGTGGGTCCTGTCTCAATGCCTGTGGAGACCAGAGTGGTGTTTAGGTCCTCTGCTCCAGGCTCCCACTCCCTTAGCAATCTGAACATGGAAGTGTGAGGGACCATCATGGCCAAGTCCACAATAGAGATGTGCTGGTCAGCTTCTGAAGCCTTGTCACATCCTCCTGCAGAACCTAGAAAAACTGGGCGGCACCCGTAGCTCTGTGGGTAGGGCACTGGCCACAGACACCAATGCTGGTGGGGTTCCAGCTAAACAACAATGACAACTGCAACAACAGAAAAAATAGCCAGGCACTGTGGCAGGTGCCTGTAGTTCCAGCTACTTGGGAGGCTGAAGCAAGAGAATCACTTAAGCCCAAGAGTTTGAGGTTGCTGTGAGCTGTGATGCCACGGCACTCTACCCAGGGCGACATAGTTGAGATTCTGTCTAAAAAAAAAAAAGAACCAAGGACTCGTCAGGACATGGGAAGAATGTCCCGGGAGGGCACCTTAGGCAGTGGAGGGAGGCTTTATGCCCTTTCCCCTGACCTTGAACTCATTTGTCTCAAAATACCTTTTTTAAAAAAATGATTCTCATCTTTAAAAAGGGATGGTTTTAAACTCCCCAATCTTTAAATATTTTAGGAGAATTCATTGGCATACAGTAGAATTCCAAGATGTGTTTCAGCCTGAGGCCTGTAACACTGGCTGTGTCACAGGCACGCGAAAGCTGGCCCCACTCTGAGTGTAGTAGCAGCTTCATAGACGGTGCTGTGAGCTGCCAAATAAATGTCAGTGTGGCTTCCCATGATAAGTGATGGGTTTCCTCTCAGTGTCTGTCATCTCAGGCCCTCTCAGAGCCCTTTATAACCTAAGGGGTCTAAAACCTGGGAAATTGAGCCCAGATCTGAGGGTGTGGCAGCTGACCAAGGGCTTGGTCTTGTGCTATGGAGCCCAGCAAACCACGGGGACCCCTCCCTGGTGCTCTCGCTGGGCCCTGCCTGGTTCTGCCAGGGTATGACCAGCAGGAGACAGTTGAACTTCGGGAATCTGTGAATCCTCCCCTGGAGGTGGCTGCCGGCTGGGGCATGGCTGGAGCCCCGCCCCCAGCACCTACCTGGTGCCTCTCAGGGCCTGGGTAATGAGTGTGAGGGGTGCTCGGCTTTAGAAACAGGCCCTGCCTGTGTGACCCGTGAGCTGCATCGTTCAGATTTCTCATTTGTCTCAGAACTTCCTTGGCTAGTGACACAGTTTGCCTGTTTTCCAGGTAATTATGCATCCGTTAAAACCCCGGATCTCAATGACAAAGGGGGTCATCTACATCGCTGTCATCTGGACTATGGCTACCTTCTTTTCACTCCCACACGCTATCTGCCAGAAGTTATTTACCTTCAAGTACAGGTGAGACGAATTAGGATCTGAGCGAGGCCTGGACCCCGAGCTCAACAAAGGCAAATCCAGGGCGTTCAGGGTGATTAGTACCTGCCTCCCTGAGCTGTCCTTTTTGCCTTGCTCCCTTCCTGTGGCCTCCCAGTGCATGCCGCCGCCGAGCCCTGGATTTTTTCGGCTTTCTCTCTTTTCTTCTCAACAACTTTGGATTCCTCCTTCCTCTCCAGTTGGTCTGCAGGGGCGAGGCAGTAGTTATCAGTTTCTGTCACCAGGGGGCGCGCACGCACAGCCTGAGGTGCGAATCCAGGCGGCCTTGTTTAAAATGAGCGAGGTTTCAATTCTCACGCGGCTGCAAACAGGGTGGGCATGCGTTCGAGGGGGGCTTCTCTCCCTGCCGCCACCTCCTCTTCAGGTTTCTTTATCATATGCTCTCACTGGATGAGAATGTCTTTCAAACATTCAGTTTTTAACAACTGAAAACTAGTTCCTTGAAGGTGATCTCGGACTTGACTGTCAGTTTGAGGCGAGCGGGCCCTGTGTCTGACTTCGCTTGACCTCAGTGGTCTGAACACTTAGCTCACTGTCTGCGCATAACGAGCCTTCTGGACACATTTGCTAGATGAATGAACGATCTTAGAGTGATTTTTGTCATTTTATAGTTGTTTAGATAAGATTCCTTTAGAAGTCGGGTCTGAGATAAAGGCAGGAGCATGTGCCTGAGGCTTATTAGGGCAGTACTCCCAGGAGCAGAGGGTCAGAGAGTGGGGAGGCAGGACAGGGAAGTCGGGGAGACCAGGGAAGAGAGGCAGGGAGCTGGGGTTTCGTGTTCCTCCATCTTCCAGTCATTGGTTCTAGACTTTCTCAGGAAAACCAGAAACTCTTGGCCACCTATGGTTGGTGGTAAATCTGTGGGAAGGGTCTTCTGTGGCCCTAGGGCAGTCCTCGGCACTTAGACGATCACAGATGCCAACTGTTTCTTGCCTAATGGGCAGGATCTGGAGTCTGGTGCTCTAGACAGGTAAAAGGGATCTGAGAGGACCCAGTGCATGGTCTGTGTCTACCACCCACTGTCCCCTCAACCATCCCCGGAAACACACACTTCCAGACACACGCCTGTGACAAAGTAGGGTCAAGAGAAACAACCCTGAAGGCCAATATCACCTGATATATAAAGGCTCCTCCATGAATCCTGGAATATTGGAGTGAATCACACACCCAGACCCCCCAACATTAAGATTCCCATTCTGCCTTCACACATGGAGGACGTTTTTTGGTTAACAAAAGCAAAGGGAGTTTTCTCTTTGTGATAGCCACCAGCACATGTAACAGGAGCGACAAACCGCATGGCAGTCCCTAAGAAAGGGGAAGAGGACCAGGCTACATTGCACGTAAAATAAATACTTGTTGTATGAGTGGTTGCAGGTGTGTAAGTTGAGCCTTTTCCACTCATATTCTCCAGACCCGTCATTTCTTTCCTTTTCCCCTTAGTTCCCCTTTGGAATGAGTAAGGTCGTCCAGTGGAGAATGCCAGGATCTTCTTCACAAGTTAGTTTCAGACTAAGAATACCAGGGTTTCACTCATTTATTCAACAAATATTTATTGGGTCTCTGCTATGAGCCAGGAATAAGACAAGATTAAGAGAGATTCAGCTACATTCCTTACCTTTATGGAGTACACAGTCTAATGGGGGAACCAGAAATGTAGTGAGATAATTAGGCTACAGCATTGAAAGTGCTCTTTTAGAGGCTATACCAGGAGCCTGGACAAGGGCAAGGTCAGTGCAACCTGGGTCCCTGAAACCTTTGCACATTAATATCTCCTGTCACCTTCTCTTCTCTCCCTTTCCTTCCTCCTGCCCCCAGTGAGGACACCGTACGCTCCCTCTGCCTGCCAGACTTCCCTGAGCCAGCTGACCTCTTCTGGAAGTACCTGGACTTGGCCACCTTCATCCTGCTTTACATCCTGCCTCTCCTCATCATCTCTGTGGCCTACGCCCGGGTGGCCAAGAAGCTGTGGCTGTGCAACACAATTGGCGACGTGACGACGGAGCAGTACCTCGCCCTGCGGCGCAAAAAGAAGAAGACCATCAAGATGCTGATGCTGGTGGTGGTCCTCTTTGCCCTCTGCTGGTTCCCCCTCAACTGCTACGTCCTCCTCCTGTCCAGCAAAGTCATCCGCACCAACAATGCCCTCTACTTCGCCTTCCACTGGTTTGCCATGAGCAGCACCTGCTACAACCCCTTCATCTACTGCTGGCTGAACGAGAACTTCAGGGTCGAGCTGAAGGCGTTACTGAGCATGTGCCAAAGGCCGCCCAAGGCTCAGGAGGACCGGCCGCCCTCCCCAGTTCCTTCCTTCAAGGTGGCTTGGACAGAGAAGAGCAATGGCCGGAAGGCTCCACTTTTAGCCAATAACCTCGTGCCCTCCTCCCAACCCCAGTCTGGGAAGACAGACCTATCGTCTGTGGAACCCACTGTGGCAATGAGTTAGAGGAGGCTGGGAGCTGTAGCGGGCTGAGTCTGTCTCCAGCTGAACCTGGGAAAGAGCCTGTCTTCACACACACGATCTCCACAGTGCTGGAAGCCGTAGGATTCTGGAGCTTCTAGGAAACTCTGCCCAGCCTCCTGGGCCCATGTAATGTGAAAAGTAAAAGGCAGCCACCAACTAGAGATGACTTTGTAATCTCCCATCTAAGACATGCTGTGAGGCACAGCACCCTGGGTCCCTGAGGAAGAGAACTGGGGATAGCTTTGGATCAGATGATGAGTGCTGAGCCAGGCTACGCCTCCCTCTGTTAGGCAGCTGCTGCCTTGTGCTCCTCCTGCCACTGAACATTCCTAAAGGAAGCCTGAGTCATGCTTTGGGTACTGCTGGCCCAGGTGCACAGAGCTCTGCTCCAAACAGGTTCATTGGCCAGGGAAAGGTTAGCAGGCCAGAGCTGGCATGAAGGTTTTCATGCCTCTCCTTCTAGAGTCATTGGATCATGATGAATTACAAATCTTCAGTGGCCTAGCCCTAGACAGATAAGAAAGGACTAATTTGGATTCCTTAAAGCAAAGAGAAATTATTATTGCCACTTTGAAAAATTCAGAAAATCACAAAATAAAAAAGTAAAAATTACTTTCTTATCCCATTAGTTTGTGATAACATCTGTTAACATGCTGTGGATTTATTTGCAAAGCTTTCCTGTGTGTGTCTGTGTGCGAGTGTGCAAACATTCTTTCATTCTCATTTACATTTTCCATTTAGAGTAATGATCAACAGGGGCACAGCGAGTACTTCTGAGACCTCTCCCCAGAGTAGCATCCACTGGCAGAGGTGAAGAGGAGGTGGGAGACTGTCACTAAGGTGGAAACTGTTACCACCCTGACAGAAATGGCCCCACCTCACAGCCACTAGTGGGAGGGGCCTGGCTGAGGGGGCTTCCAGATCACAGCCATCAGGACCAGCCTGGTAATAAAATTCAACTAGGAGGCATAATTCCTTCTGTCTTGCAATCACTGCAACCCAAGAGGTGGGGAAGCACTGTTCTTTGTTCACAGGAGATGAGGCAGAAGGCTTTCTAGCATGCTAGAAATAATTGTGCTTAGAGGCCTCATTCTCCCAAGCTGTCTAGACAGGCTGTTTCTCTGTGCTGTCTGAATGAGGTTTTTACACACCAGTTCCTGAAAGAAGACTCCCTGTTCACATCTAGTGGTTCAGGTGTTGCCTATAGTACAAGCCTATGCAACCCTTGAGGAACTTTATCCCTGCAGGGCCCAGCTTGCTAGAGAAATCTCATTCCAGAGATGGATTATTTTCATCACCTTCCGTCTCATCCTGTGTGACTGTGTCACACAGATAATTGCTGCTGTCACACTGGCTTTAGGTTTCCTTCTAGCCCCAGATAGATCCTGAAAGCAAAGCGTGACTGTGGAGCTAAGTAAGAAACTAAAGTTTGTGTGAGAAGGAATCTAAGATTCACTTAAGATCTCTTGACTGTTAATTAAAATTGAACTTAGTTCCATCCTCTGCTTCCCTATAATAAACCAGGGCAGTTCATACAGGAAGGTGTTTGACAATTTTCAAGATGCAAAATTTAAAAAACTTACCTACTGAATAGTGGATAAAAAAGTGACTTTCATTGAACAGAGAGAGTCTTCTAAGCTCATGGAAATTCCCAAGTGAGTTTTTCAGGCCCAAATGGTTCATGTGCCTGTACTTATTATCTCTGTGGGGTCAAGAAGTAGCTAATGCTGCCGGAGCAATTCTGTGAACCAGCATGAGAACAGGCAGCAGGGGCACAGAAAGCCTCCCCTGCTCTGGGACTCGTCTTCTCTGAGGATGTCTAGAAATATAGATGCTCCTTCACTTAACATCTCAGTAAACCCCCTGTAAGTTGAAAGTATTGTGAGTCAAAATGCATTTAATACATCTAACCTACTAAACCGTGTAGTCTAGCCTACCTTAAACGTGCTTAGAACACTTTAACATTTGCCTACAGTAGGGGAAAGTCATCTAACACAAGCCTATTTTATAATGAATATCTCTTGTAACTTATTAAGTACTGTACTGAACGTGAAAAACTGAGGTTATATAGGTTCTCAAAGTATGGTTTCTACTAAATTCATATCACTTTTACACTGACGTAATATCATAAAACCATAAGTCAAACCATTGTTCATTGATGATTGTGGGTACTGCCAAGTCCTAGAGAAACCCTCTTGGGGAGCACCCACCAATGGCCCATCAGGTCTGTCCCCTTCCTCCCAGCTCCTGTGTGCCTCAGAGTAAAGAGTGATTTGTATCTGTGAATATTAATTAAACCTGAGTTTTTGAAGTTGATGAAATTTGAGTTTTTCCAATATGCTGTAAAAAGTTCTTTATTGTGAATTGCTTCAGTCTCAATAAAATTGATTTTGGGTGTGTGGATTGTGCATCTTGGACTGGTCATTATGTAACAGTTGATAACCTTTAAGATGGGGACCAACACAGATTAGATGAGGGGACCATGAAGATCATCTACCAACCCCCATCCTCCAGAGGAGGAAACCCCAGCACTGGGGCAGTGAGAACCCAGTGAGGAACCTCTGCCTCTTCATCTAGGGTTTCATCCATGGAGTCAGTTGACAGGTTCCCTCTCTCATGGTGAGGTAGCGGGGACAGAATATCATTCTGTCATCCAGGTAGAGGCATCACCATAACTCAGTCAACCTCGAACTCCTTGGTTCACTCAATCTTCCTGGCTAAGCCTCCCAAGTAGTCAGAACTATAGGTGTGTGCCACCAAGTCTGGCTAATTTTTAATAGAGATGGGGTCTTCCTCTTGCTCAGGGTCATCTCAAACTCCTGAGTTTAAGTGGTCCTTCTGCCTTGGCTTCCCAGAGTGCTAGCATTAGACTTGTGAGCCACTGCACTGGCTGGTGTTTCATCTTCTAACCCTGGGAACTCCATCCGTTCCTCAGTGATTCAGTAGGAGGCAGAGCTGCCCTGTGAACCTTGGGGCAATTCTCCCATGTGGCAGTGTGTGGTGGGCTCTGCATTCCTGTATTGACCATGATTTCTGACCCTACTGGGCCTGGTGTCCACTATCCTACCAAGTAAGCTGGGTGGGCGCCTTCATTGCTTACATAATGAACTGGTTCCATCCAGAGCCCAGAAAATCGCTCTTAAACAATTTCACAGAAGGTTGTAAACAGGGATAGTTTGCTAAGCCTGGAAGAAAATTTGAAAGATAAATGAAAGTCATAGGAGGAGAGGGAACTGAGATTTGTTGACAGTCTGTGCAAATTACCATGTTAAGTGCTCTGAGCTGGTGGTCTTATTGGCACAATAGCATCCTCCAAGGTGGGCATTGTTACTGCCATATTGCAGATGAGGAAACTGAGGCTCAGAAGACTTTGGTAACATGCTAAAGATCATACAGTAAAATTGGAAAAGCTCAATGTACAAAGTTATGATTTAATAAAAATAAATAAAAAAAATCGGAAAAGCTGTTCTCTTGGAGATTAGGTTTTGAGGTATATAAAATGGAATCTTATTTTAATTTAATATTCTCCAAATTTCCTTGATTATGAGATACATTTTGGGGCAATACCTGTTAACTATCCTAAAAAGCAATGCTGAGTTACATACTTTGTAACATGCTTGACTAGATGAACTCAAGGTCCCTTGCAGCTCAGTAGTCACTGTGTAGGCAGGATCTCATGGCCTACTGATAAGCTTAATTCTGGTGACAATCTTCTTCCCAAAAAACTTCTAAGTGAATCCCAAGGTGCTGAGACCCGCTTGAATGACCTTGTCGGTGGCCAAGGCACATAACTGTCCCACAGCTAACCAGGGCCCCCAGTCCTCATGCAGCACAGGCAGAACACAGCGGAACCCTCACTGCTCCTGAGCTGGCTGTGATGTTTCTCCAGGGTGTCTATGGTGTTAGAAAGCCTTCTGGGGTATCTGAGGCTGGAGAGGAATCTGAGAAGGCTGGCAAGCAGCCACTTGGAAAATTTGCCTGTCTTAGTGCGTAGCCTGAAGATGGTGGGCGAATGGGACACCACCACCCCCAGGGTTATGGAACTGACTGTTAGAATTTGCTTCAGCATCTCTGGGTCCCCCTGACCCCCACCTCAGTTCTCTTTTATTTCAAGGAGTATAGGGCAGAAAAAAAAATACAAGTAATGATGGATGCATTTTGAAAAAAGGAAAAACAACAGTGGTATTAAATATGAAGAAACCCTGGGGCTCTGTCTCCTTTAGGAGGTTTGGTAACGTCTCTTCCAGAGAATCAGCTATTTGCTACTTCATGGGGACAAAGTGCTTGATTTTAACAGCTCCTTCTCTATTCTAGCTTCTAACCCATCTGAGACTCTATCTTAAAACTGGTCATAAATTTAAGATGCTCAGCTTGAATATGAGAAAGGCAAAGGGATCATGAAAGCAGGATTCAGGATATTGGTGACCTCAGAAGGGGAGGGTGAAGGGGATGAGGTTAGATAGAGATAATTGTCCAGGTTCTTGCTTCTGTTTGGGGCAGAGGGTTTATGGATTCTCACTATATTATTAAGAATAACTAATCAAATAACTAATGAGATAACTAGAAAAAAGTCATACATGAGCCAACATTACACAAAGAGTTATACCACGGATTATGATTAACAGTAAACCGATGGAAATGGAGGCCTGGAGGTCCAGGCCTTCACTTTTCCTCCCTGCCTCCTTCCAATAAAGTTACATCTGTATCTGTATTAAAAGATGTAAATAGAGTCCACTGCCAAGAGAATCAGGATATGATGATTTACATTTCCTTTTCAAAACAGTCTTATTTTTCTGGAATTATAAACATTCTTCTTTGCTTCTTTGCTTACTTTTCTATATCACTAATTCTTCCTCCACTCTTCAAAATAGTTAAAACCCCTTTGTGACATGGTCACACACGTGAAAGTTGTTGTGACCAGCTTCCCAGCCCATAGCCCGCCTTCTCCTCCCTCCCCCCAGAGTTGACTCTGGGAACAAGGCAAGCCTCTCCTCCCTCCATGATGGCTGAGAACATGCTTCCCAGCCACGTTCCCAGGCCCCTTCCCCCTAGGGTTGCCAAGAACAAGCTTCAGAACAAGGAAGAAAAGTCCCAAGTTTCACAAAACCCCTAAGTTATCAGTAGATGAACAATGGTGGAAAACTCAGAGAGACTTGATTAAGTACTGTTGTATAACCATAACCATTGTGATATGAGATGTATGCATAGTCAACCAAAGCTGTATTAATCATTGTTACATTACTGTAACTGTTGCTGTATTCATGACTACCCGAGCTATAGCCCCCCTTAACCAGCCACATTCTGCTTCTGTAATATGCTTGCACAAAACCTATAAAAGACAACCCACCCCCCTACTTCGCTGCTGACTTCCTCTCAAAGCAGCAGCCCCTGCAGCAGGTAAAATAAATTACCAGTTAATTAC